GCCCTGCCCCGCCCCAGGCCCCCCAGGCTTTACACGCGCCCCCTCCAGCCGCAACACCAGCTGCTCAGCAGCCCTTGCGGAGGCAGGAGGTGAGAGCGAGAAGGCGGAGAGCAGCCAGGAGGGGAAGGAGGAGGGACGCAGTCCCTGGGGGTCGCAGGAGCACCCCTCACCTGAGGCCCGGAGACACTGTCGCCCGTGGAGAGCCTGCCAGGCCGGGAGACAGGCGACCGGCGTGTGCGGGGCAATAGCTCGTGTCCCAGTAAATTGGAGTTGATATCTCAGGAGGCAGGTCCCACCCTCGGAGCCTCTGCGGCCACGCCTGAGGGCTCGGACCGAGGACAAGATCGCTCCGCTCCACAGTGGGACCTGCGCACCGCGTCCGAGTGTTAGCGTCTTGGTCTACAGGCCCCGGAGCCTGGGGAGAAAGCGAACCCTGCGGTCACCCTCTGGGGTGCACAGGAGGGAGGTCCCTGTCACCCCGGAACTCAGGGACAGTGGGTCAGGAAGAGGGGTCTGTGCGTGTGCGTGCGTGTGCGTGTGCATGTGTCTGTGTGTGCGTGCGTGCGTGTGCGTGTGTGTGTGTGTGCTGGTTGCTTTATTTCCTGCGTTTTCTCGCACAGAAACCCAGGTGTGTTGTCGCCGACGTTAATCCGGTTGGTCAAGTCCCACCCCCACCTGCTGCCCCTTGTTCCCAGGGCCGGGGCCCGGGCCGCCCGCTCCCAGGTAAGCACGCTGACACGCTGCGGCCACGCGGAGAACGCGATCGTGCCCACCCTGGGGCCTGCTCCCAGAGCCGCTGTGCAAACACATTTGCTCTGCAGAAAAGAATGGGCTGAGGCTGCCCACGACATTTGTTCTGGCAGCGGATTTCATTTCCAAACTGGCATTAGGGCAGGATTAGCCTCGCTGAGGCGTAGCTGGATGTGGGTGGAATGCATAACGCTAATCCCGGGCCCGCGTTGCCACGGGAGCAGTGCTGGGTGGGATGAAATATTTATGGCACATAAGCGCCTTCGCCTCGGCCTCCCTCATCCCAGGCATCGCCTTGTGTAGCAGGTTCTCTGCCCAGTGGAGTGGAATAAGGGCTGAGGCCAGGGCCTGGACACACAGAGCTTCCTCCCATCCTCCCAGCATCCGTTATCCTGGCCATCCCAGCGACAAGAGGCGGCCGAGGGTAGGTGAGCGGGTTTGCAGACTCACATAAGCACGGGCCCTGCCCCGGTTGCTTCTCAGCTTCAACAGAGGACAGCTCTCTGGCGGCAAGGAGAACCCAGCCATGGTCACAGATGAGCCACTGCCATCCTGCTCTGGGGGGACTAGAGAGAATATGACCCAGCAACTCCAAGTGAAGAATCCCAGGGAAGCCTCTGATTGGCTGGCCACCTGCCAATCATCATGACAGAGGGAACTGGGGATGGAGCTGCCAGGCCACAACAGGGACCTTGACCAAGGCTCAAGCAGGCTGACCAACTGGTCCCTTCGGCCTGGAACGGTCCCAATTTCAGCAAAGTCCCAGGTCGCAGGAACCCTTCAGTCCTGGGCAGGCCAGGCGGTCGGTCCCTCTAAACTCAAGAATCCATCTAGAAATTTCCAAATGCAGTGAGTTGGCTGAGCAAGTTATAACCTGTTCCTCAAGTGTCCCATTCGGGCAAGTTCCCCTCCTAGTGTTTTAAAAAGAGACACTTCAAAATGGAACAACAACTGGGAACTGAAACGGGGGCAGAGGGCACCTTGTGGTCACCCCCTTGCCCCACAGAAGGCATATCCCCGCCTCAGCTCGTGGTTAAGCTGAACCTGCTCTTTGGTAACCCCTGTTGGCCCGGGATTCTCAGGGGTGCCAGGTTCCTCTTTCAGGGGTTTCTGGCCCGGAGTGCTCAGCTGACAGTTGGGGTCACACGCACCTCGATATCAGCCACCACGGATCCTCTACTCCCGACGAGGGGAGAGGTCACGCAGCGCCCCTCCCGACGAGGTGGTCCGAGACACCCGGATGGGCAACTTCCTTCCCCTCGGGGCCAGCGCCGAGCAGCCCAATCACCGCCTGACCTGCACAGTCAGCATGGAGGGGCGTTCCGGCGCCCTCGTCCCTGTGAGCTCGCCGATGGCAGGAGTGGCCCTGGCACCGGGCCCCCTTCGGACGCGAGGGGCTGTGGAAGGGAGGCCACGCTGCCGGCCGCCCATCCAGGCAGGTGCCAACCTCTGTGACGTGAGGAACAGGCCCACGGGCACGGGGAGGGCTGCTGGCCGCAGCTTTGCAAGAGGGAAGGCCTGTCTCTTCCAGGACACGCCGCTGCCCCTTGTGCCCCCCCGACCAGCTGCCAACATCCGGGGGGGGGGGGGGCGGGTGCTCTCCCTGAAGGCTCGGGTTTCAAACGAGGTTTGCTCCTCCGACTAAGCCCCCCTGGCTTAGCCCAGCTGAAGGGGTGCAAAGGCTCATGCGCTCTCTCCTATGACTGAGGCCTGGCCTTTCGGGGGGCCCTGCATCACTACCACCTGGATGGTTGAATCGGGGAGGAAGCTGATTAAGTAAGGACACCTCCCCCTCGGCCAAGGCCCTCCCTCTGCCTATCCTGACCCGGGCTGGAGGGGGCAGCCTCAGGTGCACCGGGATCTGGAATGCTCCAGGCCTCACCTTCCACTGTGAGCTGGGTGTGGTCCTGGGGTCCAGGTGGGTGTGGTCCTGGGGTCCAGGTGGGTGCGGCTCAGGTGGGTGGGGTCCAGGCCAGGGAAGTGTGTTTTAAGAGGACATCTTTTGTGCTTGTAAAACCCTGAAGCTCACGATGCCTGGGACCCAGCCCAGCCGAGCAGGCTCCAGTGTCCTGGGGACTCACCCTCGCCTCTGCCCTGTGTCACC